CTGTGCGTCAACCGTAGCAACGTTCGACGCATTTCCAAACTCATCCGTTTCGATGGTCACATGATGGTATGGGTGAGTCTCGAGCATGCCATTAGCACGTATGTGCTCTACCAGCTTGGAGTGCTCTGACCACAAGTGTCGTGCGATAACTTGGCGGTGGCACCTGCGCCAGCTGGCTTCCGAGCATAAAAGCATATACACGATACCTTTCGCGAAACAAGTGGCAGAAAGCTCATCACAATTATATTGTGGACGGCGCGCGCTGTACGGGTGACTCCTATGATCCCGTATTCATCAATGCGCTCCAAAAACGTTTGGATGGGAAGGTCTGAATGTCCAATAGAGTAAACCCCATCGCACTTTCTACCGAAAGTCTTCGGTGTATCCTTGTACATCGGATAATTACCCGAGATCTGACAAAAGTTCGATGTCATCTCTGGTCCGTTTACCGAGATCACTCACGGTGTATGCCGAGATGCTATAGCGTTCTCCTACGAACGGTGCAACCATATGTACGTCCTTTGGACGGAACTTAAGAACTTTGTTCTTACAGTATCATGGACAGTGCCCAGCATCGTCGTGTTTTGCACTCGCACGGGGGTTGTATCCGTGGCCTCTTCGACCCACAAGCCACCACCGCGGTAATCACCTACACCTACGGTGAAGTTGAATGAACCGGGGGTATTGGCCACCGGTTGGTGAGTTGGATGCTGCTCCATTGTGGGTTCTGATGCCCAGCTCGCATACTGTGATGCAAGAGGTAAAATTTGAGATACATAGCGAATGACGGTCTGTCACGTGTGGGTCCGGAAACACCAACACGTCACGTCCGCCGTGGCGGTAAACGCCAACCGCGAGAGCTATGCTCCCGGAATCTCTATCATCGAGAAGTGGGCGTGTATACACCTCGCGCCGGTCGCGGGCGAATGAGCGAAGGAGCTCTAGGCACTCGTCTGGGGAGAACCCCTGAGTGTCTATCAAACGCGGGCCTAGCTAGAGCCTCTACGTGATCAATCTCTTCTGCGACTAGCGCCGCATCGCGGGCTCCTATACTGGTGAGCGCGACCGAGCGGTTTCGCCCGTCTTATCTTTGGGGGCGACTCCTTGCCGGAGTGGACGGCGTTGGCATCGGGCAGCAGCCGCTACAGGTCGTGGTGTCGCCGGCGCGGTGACCGGATCCGCTGTGCGTTCATCCTGGAACCTTTGTTCCGGGCCATGCACGATGGCTTCCGGAAGTACGGGTTCACCTGCGAGAACGCGGTGCGCTGCGACTTCAACCTCGTCGGCAGGACGCATTTTTCGGGCATTGACGAAAACAGGAATGTTTTCATGCAACACCCAATATGCGTTTTCTGCCTCGCGTCCTATAACGCGGCTTACCGTAGACCAAACGGTGCCTGAACTACCGGGAACATTGTGTCTCTACGGTATATGACCAAGTCACCGATTTTGTATTCGACGTCAATTGGCGCTGCGTTGCGTTGGAGTGCCTTCGCAACCCTGCGTGATGTTTCCAGGTGGACGAAGGCTTTCTTAGCCTCCTGGCGGGCGGAATGCCGAACATAATATGTGTTCGTTTCGTCGTACTTGGTAAACAGTGTGCCCATGCTCTCAGATTCGTCGTGGATGGATCCTGGCATTCTCGGCTGTTTACCTAACACGTGTTGCGCCGGACTGAAACCTTGGTGCCTACTAAGCTCGTTCTTAGTGGTGACACTTTCGGTAACTGCCGCCTCCATCTCCTCAATATTCGAGGGCTGAGCGTCCTGCGTGACCTTCCTGTAATGATGAGGCCACCATGGCGCTCGACCTTTCCGATGGTCTGCGGACTCTCGAGAGGGGCGTTTTTATGGACTATACCATGTTGCGCCAAAAATACTCAGCAAATTCTCCTCTAAAATGTGTCCCTCTATCGGTCGCTATGACCTTGGGATGTCCGGCCCAGCTGATCCACCTATCGATCAGGCACTTCACGCATTGGCGAGCATTGGGGTTGCCCCCGCCGGACTTCACCAGCACTATCTGCTGGAAACTGGTTCCCATATCAACTATGTTGATAGCAGTGTAACGGTTTCCGAAAAAGTCCTTGACTTCTAGCGCGTCCACACCTATCGCATGGTTGAATTCTTTCGGAAACACGCTGTCTCCCGCAACTGGGTGGTGCCTTGGCACTGGAGCTGTGTCCAGGCAAGCTTTGCATTTGTAAAGCCTAGCAGCGGCAATGAATTCCTTACTCGCACGAGCCTGTTTCAGGACTTGAACTAGAACTGCGTTCGGCAAGTGCCCAAAGGAACGATGCAGGCGCCTTATAGCGACCCGTGCGCACTGAGGTAGTGACCTCCACGCCGCACGCCGCTCCGCCTCTGTAGAAGGAGTCCCTTTGAAAGGGAACTGTTCAAGGATGAGGCATTCTCCCTCTTCAGGCGTCAGTGCACCACCAGCATCATCTATGTCATCACCAGCATTTCGCTGGGGCATCTCAGCGTCGGGCACCAGCTCTGCTTCGCTGATGTCCTCAGGATCTGTGTCCTGGGCGTCGCCGACAAAGCACGTTCGGCTAAATGCGTTGATATAGTACTCCTCTGAAATGGTACGGCAAATGCTCCAAAAGTCAGTATACTATCAGTGTCGAGGTAACTTCGGGGAATATACCCGTAAGACTCAGTCCAGGCCTGAAACGTATCCAAAGCCTTTCCTATCTCTGGGCCTATACCCGAGATATGCATATCCCCTCTCAAGGTAACGGTGTCCTCAAGCACTGGGTAACCATTCGGGGTAACCAAACCAAAACGATCGGGATGCTAAGGGTGTCAGCTAGACACTCGAGTTCTAAACACAACTCCTATGTAGAAGTGTCAAATCTGGCAACCACGAGGCCCGGTGGCCCGTTCTTCCTCTCGTTGATCACGCTCGCGAGGACCTGTACCGAGGGCTCGTTCAATCTAATCAAGTGATCAGCTTCTTGCATGGCAGTGTTATACACGATCGCCTTAAGGACTGCGTCTCCCGCTACCATTTCGGTAAGGCTTGAGATGAGGTGCTTAGACTGCGTTTTGCTAAGCTTCCGTAGGCTCGTGGCTGAAGGTCCAGAGGCCGCTACACTGCTACTGTGGGCAGGAAACTCGGGGCCCTCGGGGTCCGGGAACAGGGGAGCTTCGCTTGCCCCTTCCCCGCTGCAGACGGCCCTTTATGCTGCACCACGCGAGTCCTCGTCCATCGGTGAAACTCCCTCCGGAACTGTGTCCGGGTCGGCGGTGGCAGCGGCGCCACTCAAGGAATCTGTGTCCTCGATCTGATGCGGAACTGTGTCCGATTGGAAAGCTGCAGGGCAGAGCCAAAGTACCACCTACGCCCCGTCATGTCCGGGGGACTGCACAGGGCATGGCTGTTCGGCTCCTCCGCTTTCGGAGGGCAGGCTCTCTGGATCGGCAAACACGAGCCTTCATACGTCCAACTCGATCCATCGTTGGCATCGGCATGCGAAAAGAGATGGCCGATCGGGTTGATCGGGCGCAGCTTCCCCTTGGGCTTATATCCAGGGTTCGTGAAACGCGTCACGACGGAAGGAACCTTCTCGGGGCGTATGGCCCGAGCCAACAAGCCGGGCTCGGCTTTTCACACAACACCTCCCATATCGAGGTGAGCACGCCATCGGGGAAGTCACCGAAGACTATGCGACGGTTCCACCCGAAACCTATCTCGGGGCTGAGCTGGAGGGCACCCACATCGATGCCAAAGATGCGATCGTCGATATCGACGATCTTGCCCTGGCCCGGTGGCCTGGGATTCTGACGCCTGTCTCTGCCCACTCGGCGTCCGTCCAGTCATCCGACGGCCTATCGCCCTGGAAAAAATTCCAGGCCTCCCCTCGTGTCAGGGCGATGCGGATTGTTCCCGTCCGGCAGGTGGTCCTTCTCGCGCTCGAAGGACTAGCGGGTATTCCGCTGCTGGACTCACCCTCTGTGGGGTGGACACTGCTCCCTTGACTGGCCTTGCCACGCCACTTCCTGGGCGAATCGCTCTTAGATCTGGCCGATGCGGCGGCACGCAGATCTTTCAAAGCCTCGTGACGTTGGTTTTCGCGGTGTTGGAGCACTCGGATCTGTGTCCGGAATTGCCAGTCGTGCAACCCTGGCGCGGTCCCATCATATATGAATGAGCCGCTCTTGGTCTCGGCAGGCACAAGGTTCTGGGACCAGTGATTCGGTTGGTAGCGAAGGCCTGCGACTGACATGGCGAAGATATCAAGGGCCTTTGCTCCACAACTATCTCTACATTCTCCCTACGGTCCCCGGACAGACGGCTCTCGTCGGGGGTGAGACACTAAGTGAACGCCCTCAACTGCTCCGCTACCAGTTAGAAGCCGATTTCCCGTTGAAAGCCCAAGACGTCTGCGTAAGGTACGCTCGTCAGCAAGATTCTTCATGCAAACTTTCGCATGTGCAGTCGATTCATGTACTACATACAGGAAAAGACGTGAGGACTGTCAACACGGACTGTAAAAGAGACGGAAATTTCTCAATACCAAAGGGGCCACGACATGAGCTGTCCGGTGTAACCACAGCTTGAGCAGCTCGAGATCCAAGGATAGCGATCTTTCCGTGCTAACACAACATAATACCGAAAAGAACATCTGAACCCAAGCCCTGCAAAGCTTACGTGCTGGATGTTTGTTGTTGCCAATGATAGCTTGGGCAAGGGATTGTAAAGCGTATATGGCATTCGGCACGGATGGATCTACTTCTCAGGCTGACGAGAATGTTAGCCAGCGTAAAGATGCAAGTCTGCCAAGTACTAGCCACATGAAAATGTGTTGAAGTCTCTGGACTGTTGCAGCCCTTTGTGCTTCAGTCTGATTTGATTTCAAGGGGCTTCTGGCTGAGGGCTGAATGAAAAGTGCAGTTCACGGAGGAAGCCAGGTTTGCAGCCCTGTGGAGCAAATTGCAAAGCAGATCAATCGAAGTTTTCGCTGCCTGCCGAAGTGCCCTCTGCCCAGGATCTCATCCGAAAAGGTCGAAGTCCATCTCCTCCTCCTCTTCCTCTTCCACAACTACCTGTCGGCAAAATGCACAGTCGCACACCCGAGAATCCCTCTGGCCGAGCTTTGTCATCTGCCGCCTTCTTCTCCTCCGTTTTGGGTGCATCACCGCTGGCTGCGGGTGTAGCCGCCACAGGATTTGCAGCAGCGTATGCGTCCGGATCTTGCAAGAACTTTTTCACATCCTATCAGGGCCACAGAATCTCTGCTGTGCCCGGCTTCGAACTCCTTTGCTCTGCTATGCTCTGCTATCTTCGTATCCTAGCTGTCCTAGCTCCGAGCCTCCACTTCGGAGAAGGTGAAGTCGATGTCGGCGACCATGGATGCCACGTTTTTGAAGGCGTTTCCGAAAGCATGCGGCAGCCCCGCCGCTGTGGGGATACCGACTTCCCTGCTGAAAGCAGCCATGTTGGCAATGCCAGACAAGAATTTCTGGATAAGCATCTGCTCGGACATATCTAACACGGCAGCATCGAAGACCGACGCATCCTGAAATACCTGCTGCACCTCAATCTTGTACTCGAAAGGCTTGATCCCCAACTTCGTGAGCAGGACCGCTCCGCTAGCCGAGACTTTCTCGCCTGTGCTCAAGATCTTGAAGTCGGAGACCAGCTCGATCTGCCCCTTCACGATCTTGGTGCCTATGTTCAACGCCTCAAGGGCAAGTCTCCAAACGAACGAGGCCAACAGAGAGTCTAGATTACTGCAAGGGCTCCCTGTAACGGCTTGTTTCGGGCACCTGGAAGAAGGCAGTCTGGGAAGGGTCCATGCCAGTTGGCCCTGCCGGGATGAACCAGTCCACGATGGATACCTGGCCGGCTTTTGCTGCCGACTGCCGGGTGTGCTTTGTCAGGCATTCCCGGATGTCATCCAGGCTGCAGTTCGTGGCGAAGATGAAGCCCATGTTCCCCTGGATCGTGTCTCGCAGCTTCTCCAGGCCAGCCTGGAGGGGGGGCGCCAGGAATCCCGCATAGTTGGGAGCCCATTTTGGTAAGGATCCTAGTGTTCAAAACTGTGTTCAAGGGCTTGCTGGATTCTGAAACTCCCCCACGCTTCAGCATGCGTTGGCCTCGGGGTGGCGATCGTGGCCCACCTGCAGCGCTCGACGAATCATCGTGTTCTTGCCCATGAGAACCTGGTTCTTGCTTGTTGAGGTTCGAAGCAATTTAGCGTACCTGGAATGTCTGAAAAGTATAATATGTACACATGCATATACACGATGCAAACACATACACATGCACATACAGGACGCCGCAATGGGTGTACATAAATAAATACATATATATATATATATATATATATACATACATACATACATACATATATTATACATATGTGCATGATCCGACGACCCCTGCGGGCGGCGCCCGTGATATCCCGAGAGGTGTCCGCACCCGCACTGCTTCCACCGCCTCCACCGCTTTGTTCAAAGAGTCTTTCACCGCTGTATTTGTAGGTGTTTAAAGAGTATTTAAAGGCTGCCAATGTGTGCCCGGACCTCTCCGCGCCCCCACTGCCCCCACCGCCCACACCGCTCTCACCACCCCCACCACCTTCATCCACCGCCACCACCCCCACCATCTCCATTACTGCCACGCCTGCACTGTGCCTCCACCGCTTTCACCGTTCCCACCGTCTCCACCGCTCTCACCGCCCGCTGTATTTGTAGGTGTTTAAAGAGTAAAGAGTATTTAAAGGCTGCCAATGTGTGCCCGGACCCCCCCGCACCCCGACGCCCCCACCACCCACACCGCCCCCACCGCCCACACCGCCCTCACCGCCCTCACCACCCCCACCACCTTCATCCACCGCCACCACCCCCACCATCTCCATTACTGCCACGCCTTGCACTGTGCCTCCACCGCTTTCACCGTTCCCACCGTCTCCACCGCTCTCACCGCCCGCTGTATTTGTAGGTGTTTAAAGAGTAAAGAGTATTTAAAGGCTGCCAATGTGTGCCCGGACCCCCCCCGCGCCCCCACCGCCCACACCGCCCCCACCGCCCACACCGCCCACACCGCCCTCACCGCCCTCACCACCCCCACCACCTTCATCCACCGCCACCACCCCCACCATCTCCATTACTGCCACGCCTGCACTGTGCCTCCACCGCATTCACCGTTCCCACCGTCGCCACCGCTCTCACCGCCCGCTGTATTTGTCCACACCGCCCCCACCGCCCACACCGCCCTCACCGCCCTCACCACCCCCACCACCTTCATCCACCGCCACCACCCCCACCATCTCCAGTACTGCCACGCCTGCACTGTGCCTCCACCGCTTTCACCGTTCCCACCGTCTCCACCGCTCTCACCGCCCGCTGTATTTGTAGGTGTTTAAAGAGTAAAGAGTATTTAAAGGCTGCCAATGTGTGCCCGGACCCCCCTGCGCCCCCACCACCCACACCGCCCTCACCGCCCTCACCACCTTCATCCACCGCCACCACCCCCACCATCTCCATTACTGCCACGCCTGCACTGTGCCTCCACCGCTTTCCCCACCGCCCACACCGCCCTCACCGCCCTCACCACCCCCACCACCTTCATCCACCGCCACCACCCCCACCATTTCCATTACTGCCACGCCTGCACTGTGCCTCCACCGCTTTCACCGTTCCCACCGTCTCCACCGCTCTCACCGCCCGCTGTATTTGTAAAGAGTAAAGAGTATTTAAAGGCTGCCAATGTGTGCCCGGACCCCCCCGCGCCCCCACCGCCCACACCGCCCCCACCGCCCACACCGCCCTCACATGCCCTCCCCACCACCGTCATCCACCGCCACCACCCCCACCATCTCCATTACTGCCACGCCTGCACTGTGCCTCCACCGCTTTCACCGTTTCCCACCGTCTCCACCGCTCTCACCGCCCGCTGTATTTGTAGGTGTTTAAAGAGTAAAGGAGTATTTAAAGGCTGCCATGTGTGCCCGGACCCCCCCGCGCCCCACCGCCACCACCGCCGGCCTCACCACCCCCACCACCTTCATCCACCGCCACCACCCCCACCATCTCCATTACTGCCACGCCTGCACTGTGCCTCCACCGCTTTCACCGTTCCCACCGTCTCCACCGCTCTCACCGCCCGCTGTATTTGTAGGAGTAAAGAGTATTTAAAGGCTGCTAATGTGTGCCCGGACCCCCCCGCGCCCCCACCGCCCCGTCCCCACCGCCCCCAAAGCCCACACCGCCCTCACCGCCCTCACCACCTTCATCCACCGCCACCACCCCCACCATCTCCATTACTGCCACGCCTGCACTGCCGCTCTCACCGCCCGCTGTATTTGTAGGTGTTTAAAGAGTAAAGAGTTTTTAAAGGCTGCCAATGTGTGCCCGGACCCCCCCGCGCCCCCACCACCACCACCGCCGGCCCTCACCACCCCCACCACCTTCATCCACCGCCACCACCCCCACCATCTCCATTACTGCCACGCCTGCACTGTGCCTCCACCGCTTTCACCGTTCCCACCGTCTCCACCGCTCTCACCGCCCGCTGTATTTGTAGGTGTTTAAAGAGTAAAGAGTATTTAAAGGCTGCCAATGTGTGCCCGGACCCCCCCGCGCCCCCACCGCCCACACCGCCCCCACCGCCCCCACCGCCCACACCGCCCACACCGCCCTCACCACCTTCATCCACCGCCACCACCCCCACCATCTCCATAACTGCCACGCCTGCACTGTGCCTCCACCGCTTTCACCGTTCCCACCGTCTCCACCGCTCTCACCGCCCGCTGTATTTGTAGGTGTTTAAAGAGTAAAGAGTATTTAAAGACCGCCCCCACCACCGCCCTCACCACCTTAAGACCGCCACCACCCCCACCATCTCCATTACTGCCACGCCTGCACTGTGCCTCCACCGCTTTCACCGTTCCCACCGTCTCCACCGCTCTCACCGCCCGCTGTATTTCTAGGTGTTTAAAAAGTAAAGAGTATTTAAAGGCTGCCAATGTGTGCCCGGACCCC